ATTAACTATTTGAAAAAATATGTTTCTTTGTGGGAAGTTCTTAAAAATTGTACGTAGTCAATTCAATGAAATTACATATTTAATTTAAAAAATAGATATTAAGCCATCACCTCACTCCCATCAGAATGGCTATAATTGACGGGACAGGAAACAACAAGTGTTGGAGAGGATGTGGAGAGAAGGGCGCTCTCATACACTGCTGGTGGGAGTGCAAACTGGTGAAGCCATCATGGAAAACACCATGGAGAGTCCTCAAAAAATTAAAACTAGAGCTACCATATGATCCAGCTATTCCACTGCTGGCTATTTATCCAAAGAACGTGAAAACACTAAAGCATAAAGATACACGCACTCCTATGTTCATCACAGCATAATTCGCAATAGCCAACACTTGGAAGCAACCTAAGTGCCCATCAAGGGATGAATGGATAAAGAAGATGCGGTACATATGTATATATACAATGGAATACTACTCAGCTATAAGAAATGATGAAATCCAGCCATTTGTGACAACATGGATGGACCTTGAGGGTGTTATGCTAAGTGAAATAAGTCAGAGGGAGAAAGTCAAATACTGTATGATCTCACTTAGAAGCTAAAAACAACAACAATAATCACACAGAGACAGAGACTGGCTTGGTGCTTACCAGAGGAGAAAGGCGGAGGGAGGAGGGCAAAACAGGTGATTAGGTACATGTGTGTAGTGATGGATTGTAATTAGTCTTTGGGTGGTGACCATGATGTAATCTACACAGGAACCAAAATATAATGATGTACCCCTGAAATTTATATAATGTTGTAAAACAATGTTACTGCAATAAAAAAATAAAGTACATATTCCCCACTCAAAAAAAAAAAAAAGATATTGAGCTACTCAGCTTTTCTACTTCATTTTGCCAGTTTGTACAAGTTATGTTCTCTAAATATTTTTGTCTATTTCACATAAGTTGTCAAATTTTGGGCGATAAAGCAGTTTGTAATGTTGCCTAATTATCTTTCTAATGTTGGTAGGATTTGTAGTAATATCCTCTTTTCCAAACATGATTTTGTTCATTTGTGCTCTCTCCTTTTTTTTTTCTCTTTCATGATCAGCTGGCTAGGAGTTTATCAATTTTATTTTTCTCAAAGAACCAATTTTTGGCTCATATTTCATGGATTTTGCTTTTTCTACATATCAATATGCTCTGGAGAGCTTTTCATATTAGTACATATAGATCTACCTCATTTTTCCTAATTGCTGCCACCGAACTTCATATTATGGGGGTACCAGAATTTATTTAATTACAGGCATTCTTCTTATTATTAATTTTGCTATTAGAATACTGTACAAAACATCCTTTTATATGTTTCTATGTGCTCACGAGAAAGGCCAGACCCCAAGCAGTTAAATTGCTGGACCAGAGGGTACATTAATTTGACTTTTTTAAACAAGTAAATTCCAAACTGTTTTCCAAATGGCTGTATCACCTGGCACTTCCACCAACTGGGTAGAAACATTCCTTATCGATCCAGGTTCTTGCCAATATTTAGTACCATGAGCCTTTTTCATTTATGTCATCATGGTTTCAATTTGCATTCCCTTGATCACAGATGAGTGTGAGCATCTTGTGGCTATTCTGGCTTGAGAATTTTCTCCTCTGAGAAGGATTTTTTTTAAATCTATTTTCAATTTATTTTTATTATTCACTTTTTCTTTATATAGCAAAGATATCAAACTGTGGTTTCTCAACATGTCCAAAATAGATTTTCCTAGTCTGTTCCATATTTTTGCATTGTGTTTTATTGTGTCTTTTTTCACACGCTTTAAATTTTGATAGAGTTAAATTAATCATTATTTTCCTTTATGGCCTGATGTTTGTATTTCACTGAAGGCCTTTTCTCTGGCTCTGAGAGTTCAACTGACATTCGTTGGCTAGTCAGTCTCTTGTCTCTGGAGGGCAGCTCTACCACTGAGTTCTAGAACCCAGCCCCTAGGTGACCATGCTCTTCTCTCCTCACCTCTCCCACCATAGTGGAGCTCTCAATCCCTCATGCTTTACTGCAGGTTTAACATCTGTCCTCTCATCAACCCACCATCTCCAGGCCCCTTACACACCTTGAAAATGACAACTTGGAACCACAGAATGACAGAAAAAACATTGGGAATTGTCTAGTCTCAAACTCTCATTTTTATAGATGAGGAGTATAAGATCCAGACCTTGCTATCCAACACGGTAGCCATTAGCCAGATGTGGCTTTTTAAAATTTAAGTTAATTAGAAGTAAAAATTCAGTTACACTGGCCAAATTTCAAATTTCAAATGTGAGCTACATGTGGCTCACAGTGACCATATTAGGCAATGGGGGATTAGAACTTTTTCATCATTGTAGAAAGTTCCAGTGGACAGGGTTGCTCTAGAGCTTCATTACTTAAAGGGCAGACTGCTGATTGGCAGCAGGACCCTAGGCATCATTGGGAGCTGGTTAGAAATTGAGAAGCTCTATTAATTAACAGAGAATCAGGCCCCATCCCAGACTTACAGAGTCGGAATCTGCAACTTAACAAGATCCTCAGGAAGTTTACATGAGGGTTAGTCAGAGAAGCCCTAATCATGTTATTTTTTTCCCCGAGGTCACATAGCTGATTGGTGTCCAGGCCCTTCCCTGACCTGGCTACCATTTTCCCTTACCATCCCATGTCCTAATTATTATCTCCCTACCACACCTGCTTTCTGACTCTGTTTAATTACAGCACTTTATAAACATTTATAAGACAGCCAGGCCATTGAAGCCCTCAGAAAACCTCCATGCTTTCACCCTCATTCTTTGCAAATGCTTGCTTGGTAGACTTGTGATATAGGCCCAGACCCCTCTAATGGCTGTGGTGTTGTTCAGCATTTCCCCTGGGGAATCACTGTTGAGGGGACAGAAATTAAAGCCAACCTTAAAAACAGTGGGACACCACTCATCAACTGTATGGATACTTGGTCTTGGTGGTATACTGGTAGCATTCAGTTCTTTGGACTCCACAGCCCTGAGGTAGAGCATGCAGAGCAGGCGATATACTTGCCTTGCTAACTGTCACACCTGACCATCTGATTGGAGAGTTCAAAGTAGGCATGGTGATCTCCTAACGTAAGCACTGCTCATTCAAGGTAATTAATCAGTAGGTCACCAAAAGGAAGTGGATTTGGTGATAGGGCACCAGGCTGTTCTGGAACTCTGGGAGGCCTGCCCTCAGGGCACCACCAAAATACAGGAAAGCAATGATGAAGGAGAAAGTCCGGCCTAGGCAGTGTTGAGATTGCTGTAGGCAGAACTGTCCAGGTGCAGCTTGCAGCAACAGATGTTAGCCTCATTGTCTCCCAAGAAGACACAAAGTCCAATGGCTCCAGGGTGGACTGGCAGTCAGGATGGAGCTGCAGGGTTCCTTCACTGTTGGCAGCACCCAGAGGCTGCTTGGATGGCTGATTTCAGCTTGGACTTCTTGCCATAGTCAAGAGCAGCTCCTCTACCAGCAGCAAGGTGAAGCCTGGGCCAGAGCTACCCAGAGAGCTGGGGAACATCACATGCACCCCTCTGTCAGTTTCTGGATAAACTCCAGCACTGGATCAATGATCTCTCTTTGTTTTTCTTTCCACCATGCAGCAGCCATAGGCATCTATAAGAGCAGGGTCCAGGTCCACAAAGACCTCTGAGGGTGCACGAATGCCAGCCCAACTTTCTGAAGGCGGCCACAACCTTGGATCTTATTGCTGGACTCAGTACCGCTGGGCTGGGACTGTACTCAAGGCATTAGAGTCCCCAACAACAGCTTGGCCAATATAGGAGGAGGTGCCCCCAATACAGACGTGGTCTGAGAGGTGGAAATTTCACAGGGTCAGTTTCTGCAGACACACTACAAGTCTCTGGCAACACCATGGATTCCTGGAAAAGTGTTTTTATATGTCCTAGTCTTCCCTAAGATATTTATGAATTGGACCAAATACAATAAAAATATTTATTAGTTATTACTACGCTCAAGGGATTATGAGTGGCTCTTTTTTCCTCCGAAGTCACAGAAGACACCATCCCTATCCTCAAGGAACTTCCAGTGTAGGCGGAAGGATATTCAATAACGTCCATTAAAAATGCCTAACAATTATACAAGGCTGAGAATCTGAGTGCTAGATGGGTGACAGAGACAGGCGGGGTTAGAAGGGCTCAGAGGAGAGAGAGAGGCTGCAGTGAGGGAGAGAGGGAATGAGAGCAATGAACTGCGTCTAAAATAAAGGGTTATATATTAGCGTGGGCTCTGTAAAGGCACAAGCCCTATTTCAAACCACTGTTTCTCAGCGTTTGGAACAGAGTGGGCATATAGTAGGCACACAGTAAATACGAACGGATGAATGGTAGGGAGTAGTATATGTCCAAAAGCAGGCAGTATCAGATGGCTAAAAGGCTTGAAACCAGGCTAAGCAATGTTGACATTTACGTTAATGATTCCCGCTCAATAACTCCTAAACACTGACTCTCTACACCCCTCCCGCGTATACAGAGCCCCGGCCGGATGGGAGTCGTCGGTTTTGGCCACTCCTGTAACCTCAGCGCCCGCAGCAGCACCCCACACGTCGGTGAATACCGACGGGCTGAGGCGTCCTGTGAGTCGCCTTCTCTCACTGGCTGCCCACGTGCCGGGAAGGACTGGCGGAAGGCCACGTATCACCTCCATTACGACATTTCCATTCGCCATTGCGGCGTCTATCAGGATGCTATCATGGCTCTTCGAGGGCAAGGTCGCGCCTCAGTCCCCAAGGTGCTACCAGCACAGCGCGCAGCACCTGACAGACAATACCAGCGGATGATGCACTAATACGGTCATTACTGAAATTAGTTACTACCTAAATCGGCTGGTAACTCTCATCGGTTTCTCACGGTTGACTGTCCCACCAAGAACCTACACCCGAGCGCTCAGGCGGGATGACGCATGCGCGGCTGGCAGGGTGGAAGGGTGGGGGAGGGTCAGGGAGGGAGGGCCGGGTACGCGCAAGCGCGCGGCCGCGCCGCCGGGCCGTGCGAGAGGGCGGGCGACGCATGCGCGGGCGGCGGCGGCCTTAAGGACGGCGGCGGCGGCCCGGAGGGGCCCAGTCGGCCTGTCAGCCGGCTTGGAGGGACCGCTCGGCGCTTGCGCGGCGACAGCGGCCATGGCGGCGGAGGAGGAGGAGGTGGACTCGGCGGACGCCGGCGAGAGGTGAATGCGGTCGGGGCTGCGTGGGGCGTAGGCGCGCGCCCTCCGCGCCGGTGGGGTTCGGGCCGGACGGGCGGCCCCGAGGACTCGTAACCCGCCCACTCGCTCCTTCATCCGTCCCGGGAGCGAGTCGGCTTGGCCGCTGGACCCCCCCCCCCCAGTCCCGCGGAGCCTGCAGTGGGTGGCCCGGAGCCTGGACCCGGGCTCCTAGTCTGCGAAGGGTCTCCGCCCGGGCGGCGGCGGCCGGCGGCGGTGACCGGCGGTCCGTGCACCTGACTCGAGTCACGGGAAACTTCCAGGTCCCTTTCCGTCGACAGGTACGCGCTGTGCTCTGTCCGGCCTGCGACAGGAACGAAGGCGCCCCGGGCCGAGCCGTCCACAGCCTGGAGGAAGGGGAGGCCCTGCCTTGGGGCCGTGTTAGATGGAGAGCCCGCATTCACCTGAGGGGCCGCGGAGATGAGGCGCTGTCGAGGGCAGGAGGAGCCCAGCTTGGGGGACAGGGGCTTGAGGGAGTGGGTGTATGGCTTTGGGTTTCAGAAGAGGTTTAATTTACAGATGCTTTGTAGAAAGAAAGTTAAACACGGTGTGGATGGCAAGTTCAGAGTTAATAATCTTTAAGATGGAGAGCTCCTTTGCTTCCAGGTGTTCTGGCATTACTGGAGAAGTGTGTGTGTGTCTGCGCCTCTGGAAGACACATACATGTAGAAAACTCTGTGGGAGTTGGAGGACAGATGTCCAATGTGAAGCTTTTTGATATACGGATACCCTAAGTTTAGGTTATTCTTTTCTACCTGTAACTAACTTCATGCTCTTGTCAGTAAGCGAATAGTAGAGGAAAAATTAAATTTCTGTGAGCATCATTGCCTTTTTTCTCTAGGCTGGTCTTATCGGAAAGTACATATGTTTAATATTTTGACAACAGTTCTACTTCAGATATGGGGAGAAGGCTGCATATGAAACATAACCTAATGATAGAAAATATGGAGTACCATGAAGACGGGGGTATTTGGAAAGATGCCAGAGGGGAAAAGTTGTGAAATATTAGAAAATAGGTTCTTCCTTTGAGTTTTGTTTGTATGATGAATAGGTTGGTTGTTTTGCTTTGGTAATGAACTTCCTTGTTGAGGTGAGGTGCTGAGTGTCACGTGAACACAAGTAGGAACCTAAGTGGTAGCTTCTTCCCAACTAGTTTGTCACAACATTTTTAGTGTCTTTCTAAGACTGCTCTTCAGTGGACTCTTTGGTGTCCATGTTGTTGTGGGGCTTGGTAGTCTAGGGCACAACTGTGAAAGGAATTTGTGGCTTTGAGTGATGATAAGAGGTCACGGGGGACAGACTATAAAATATCCTTAGCAGCTGACCAGCCATAGTCCCCCAACAGAGGTGGGCCTCCTTGGTACTCTTGGCATTACACTTGAGCAGTGTCCAAACTAGTATGGCCTTCTGAACTATACAGGGCGGGGGGGGGGGGGGGGGGGGGGGGTGGGGTTGGGGCGCGGGGAGCAAGTACCTGCTCCTGCTGGGTGTTCCCTAAATGTCTCATATTGAACCCTCCTACTGGGTGTTCCCTAAATGCCTCATATTAAACCTAAGGTTGACCGTATCTGCTAGGTATTACTGTTCCCATTTTTCAGTTGGATCTGAACCTGGGAGGAATACTAGCACCCCACTAGCACGTAGCAGGGCTGGAGTGGAGCCCCCCCAGGTGGCTGGATTTAGTCTAAGAACACTTTCCCCATGTCTTTGCTGCCTCTATCTGGGATTGGGACTCATGGGGCGTTTGGTTCTTGTTTCTTTTGCTTACTCTACTGACTCTTGGTAATTTAATCCTTGGGTTAATACAGAGTTCACTCTTTTTTTTTGGTTAATCAACAGTAGAACTATCCCAAGAGCCAAGTGGATTGTGGCAAAACACAAGTCTCGAATTAAGTTCCCTGTCTTTAAGACATTTCAGATTTTGATGGGAAGGTGACATCAACAAAAGAAACAATTATAAAATGGTCATCGAAGGCGTTTTGGAGTATATGATTCTTGTCTTTTCCTTTGTGACTTTCAATGAGGACAGGCATTCCTGGGAGCCATTTGGCTTTCAACATCTAACCCTTTTGAGTTGCAGTAAGGTTGAGAAAGCTAAATGTAACAAGAGTAGGATAGACTTCTGTGAATTGTTGCAAGGTTGTCCCACAGAATGATTATCAGTTGAATTTAGAGGAAAGCTGTCACAGAATTGCTCAGTTGCCAAGTAGACCATAAAATAGGTGGTTTGTAGTGGTGTGCTGGAGTTATTGCTAAATTTTCAGAATTTTGCCAACCATTGGCAGCTTGAAATCAGCCATGGTGGTAGTATTTACACCATGGAAATCATCAAATGGTATAAATAAGGGATTTTTTTCTCCTCTTCCCCTCTAGTAGGTTTACCAGCACCCTACTGGATTTACATTAGAATTTGACTATATTTCTTTGCCTTGGAGATAGGAGAGTGGATTTTTCTATCTTTAGAAAGACTGCTAAAATCACTGACTCTTCTCTGTTGCCATCTCCCCTTCCCAAACCCTTGCCATCTGACTTCTTAAAAATCACAGAACTGGGCCCGGTGGCACAGTGGTTAAGTGCACACATTCTGCTTCCTCGGCCCAGGGTTCGCCGGTTGGGATCCCCGGGGGCGGACATGGCACCGCTCAGCAAGTCATGCTGTGGTAGGCGTCCCACATATAAAGTGGAGGAAGATGGGCACAGATGTTAGCTCAGGGCCAGTCTTCCTCAGCAAAAAGAGGAGGATTGGCAGATGTTAGCTCAGGGCTAATCTTCCTCAAAAAAAAAAAAAAAAATCACAAAACTCCCCAATGCCACATCCCAGTGGGCTTTTATTTTTCCCAGTACTTATCTTTCTTGGGTTCTTGTCAGTGTTTGACACTATAAACTCGTACCAGACCTTCTAGCTCTTAGGACATTTTGCTTCTTGTCTTACCTCAGACCAGTAGTCACTTTTATTAGGTTCTCTTTTTTCCATTCTCTAAATGTAGTCATTCTCCAAGATTCTGTCTTCATCTTTAGTACTCTAGTGATGTTTCTAAATGGGTGCCAGATGTTTTCCCCTGATTTCTCAAATGTAGCGTGTCTAGACCAGGATCTCATTTGTACCTTCCTTCCCCTGAACTAAACAGTACAGAAAGCTCAGTTCTTTCCCTTAACTTCCCTATTTTTATTAGGGCACTTATGTTGTTCTGGTCATATAGATTCAGAACTGTGGCATTATTTTTCAACCACCTCTCCCCCCTTTATTGCCCTGAATACCAACCAAATCTGTTACCAAGTCCAGTAGATTCTAAGTACAACATCACCTTTCCATTCTCACTGTCGCCTAGGAGCCACCTAGTTCAGACCCTCCTTATTCCATTTTCTGGATTGTTACAGGCCTTACTAACATGTTCTGTTCCTATGCTCTCAACGTAAGTTATTCCATTAGTTACTTTTTAAAAAATTTTTATTATTTTTTTTAATTGCAATAACATTGGATTATAACAACATATGGCTTTCAGATGTACATTGTAATATATTTCAAATTCTGTGTAGATTACATCATGTTCACCACCCAAAAACTAATTATACTCCATCCCCTCACATGTGAGCCTAATAACTCCTTTTGCTCTCCCCCCTTTTTTCCCCCATGGTAACCACCAATCCATTCTCCGTTGCTATGTGTTTGTTTGTCGTTGTTTTAATCTTCTACTGATGAGTGAGATCATACAATGTTTGACTCTCTCCCTCTTATTTCACTCAGCATAATACCCTCAAGGACCATCCATGTTGTCACAAATGGCCGGATTTCATCATTTCTATGGCTGAGTAGTATTCCATTGTGTATATATACCACATCTTCTTTATCCATTCGTCCCTTGATGGGCACCTGGTTGCTTCCGAGTCTTGGCTATTGTGTATAATGCTGCAGTGAACATAGGGGTGCAGGTATCTTTATGCATTTCTGTTTTCAAGTTCTTTGGATAAATACCCAGCAGTGGGACAGCTGGATCATATGGTAGATCTAGTCTTGATTTTCTGAGGATACTCCATATTGCTTTCCATAGTGGCTGCACGAGTTTTCCCTCCCACCAGCAGTGTATGAGGGTTCCCTTCTCTCCACATCTTATCCAACGCTTGTTTCCTGTCTTGTTAATTATAGCCATTCTGACCGGAGTGAGGTGATAACCTCATTGTAGTTTTGACTTGCATTTCCCTGACAGCTAATGATGTTGAGCATCTTTTCATATGCCTGTTGGCCATCGGTATATCTTCTTTGGAGAAATCTCTGTTCAGATCTTTTGCCCATTTTTTAATTGGGTTGCTGGCTTTTTTGTTGTTGAGATGCATGAGTTCTTTGTATATTTTGGATCTTAACCCCTTATCTGATATATATATCTGATATCTCTTCTCCCAGTTGTTAGGTTGTCTTTTCGTTTTGTTGATGGTTTCCTTTGCTGTGCAGAAGTCCATTAGTTACTTTTATATCCCCAAGAGGCACTGTCTTGTTTGTAGCATAGCCACATTATTCTATATAGCCACATTCTATTATGTAGCACATTATTGTATGTCCTCAGCCTGGCGTCAAAGCCTTATCAGGCAGCGTGGCTCCTGTCTGTCTTTGGAGTCTTATTTCCTTTCTGTGCACTGGGCTTTAGCCAAGCTGTATCTTTCATTGTTTCCTAAACTTGTTTCTTACTCACCTCCGGTTTCCCCATGGCTTGGTTCATGTTGTTTTCTCTGACCCAAAACAGATTGTGATCCTCCTTCTCTAAAGGTCCATGGTAGTTTCCCAAGCTTCCTTTATGGCACCTATACCATATTTTAAAATACAATTATTTGTATATTTGTTTCATCAGCTCATTGAGGACAAAGCTTTTGTCTTACTCAAATGTCTGGTAGAACCTAAAGGGGCTTTATAAATAGTAAGGTTCAATAAACTTTTATGAATTAAACACTTCAGTTGTAAATTTATGCTGATATGAACATTAAGATAACCTCGTAGCTGATTATACATTTTGCAGGTAGTGACTTAAATTTTTTTCATCCTATGATATTCAAAGAACATCAAAAGATGTATTCATAAGAAATTCAAGATTTGAATTTGATTAGGACAACAATTAGGATCGTGAACTTCAATTATATTGGAGAGGTTGAGAATATGCTTCTTTTTCTTAACCTTGGATGAACCAACAGTGAACCATGCTTCCCTGTTTTGCCCTTCTCCAAAATGCCGATCACAGACCAGCAAATGCAGATTTCAGCCCTGTGACAAAGAACTTAACAGCAGATTGTAAAGGGATGGTGCACTTAATAAAAACCATACCGGATAATACATTTCACAATTACAGATGTCTCTGAATGAGTCCTTAAATATTTGACCTGTATTATTTATAATAGCCATTCAGAAACATTATATAGTTAGATTTTTAGTCTAACCTCATGATTCTATAATTCTAAATTCCTCACTTCTGATTGTGAAGCATAAAAAATGTTGTTTAGAAATATGATTTTATTAAAACTTAGTTTGAAACCTAGGATTTTGGGGTTTTATTTTCTTTATCTACTGGGATGAATTTATTTTAGAACTAACACAAAATGCCGCTTGGATTTGTTAAGCAGTGTAAATCTAAAAGTACACGTGTAGCTTCTTTAAGTATGTTTGGTGGTGCTGTATCTGACTCCAGAATGGCTTGTTTACTATTTGAGGGAAGGTAGGAAACAATTGGGGAAAGAATATTACCAGCACATTGTTGTGTCTAAAATATTTCTTCTCCAACTCTGGGTCTTTAAAAGTTACAGATTAGAAATGAAAAAAAAGCTTAAAAGAATGCTAATTAATATGTTAAAATATACTAGAGGACCTGTGTTGTCATTGATCTAATTGTTAGTGGAGCATTTGAATCATTTCAGTATCATTTATTTAAAATCAAATGGCATGTTAGTCACTTAAATTATGCTTGTATGAGACATACTCCTTTTTTCCCCCCTTCTTTTCTAAGAATAGGATTTAAGAAGTCAATTCCCAGGAAAAAAGGCCTTTATTTGCCCAAGTGTTGAAATTTCCAAGTTGGAAGTTTTTAATAATTTGTTGGTTGTTAATTTCAGAGGAATATGTATATTCACACCTCTAATAAATTTGTATATTTATAATAATCAAAACTTCATAGTTTGTCTAAATGAGGTAGAGTGCTGTGCTTAGAGTAGCCTATGGAGAGCAATAATAAAAATAATTTTTCTCTCTTGACAGTACCAGTATAGGGCTGGAGGCCATTTTAAACAAAATTGTAATGTAATGAAATCCTCTTTACTTATAACCTAATTAGAAATGTTAGGTGGCCAAGAGTGTGTGGAAATTGGCCAGACTTCTGTATATTTTTCCTCAGAATACTTTGAAACTCCTTTCACTGTTTCACAATATTTATAGATTATGCAATTCAGGTTTAGTAATACTGTAGATAGTCAAATGTCTTAGAGGACAAAACAGGAATTACCAGGAAACTTAAATGTTAATGGCATAGGATATAAGTACCATGTTGATATTTTTTTAAAAGATTAGGTAGAAAGTTAAGGGAAAAATTTCAGTGTTTTATCCCTCAAACTCAGGATACCTAACATAAGATTTTTTTTTTTAACTTTTTTTTTCTTCTCCCCAAAGCTTCCCAGTACATAGTTGTGTATTCTAGTTGTGAGTGCCTCTGGTTGTAGCTTGTGGGACGCCGCCTCAGCATGGCCTGATGAGCGGTGCCGTGTTTGGGCCCAGGATCCAAACCCGCGAAACCCTGAGCCGCGAAGCGGAGCGCGCAAACTTAACCATTCAGCCATAGGGCTGGCCCCTAACATCAGATTCTTAACTTAATAAATTCTGTTAATATATTAAGCACATCTTATTTGACTTTCCTTAGAATTGCCACCTCAATGTAGTCTTGTAAAGCTTTTCTTGCTCAGAAGTCTGCTCACTAAAAAGATTCTTTCTCGGGGCTGGCCCCGTGGCGGAGTGGTTAAGTTCGTGCTCTCCGCTGCAGGTGGCCCAGTGTTTCGTTGGTTCGAATCCTGGGCGCGGACATGGCACTGCTCATCAAACCACGCTGAGGCAGTGTCCCACATGCCACAACTAGAAGGACCCACAACGAAGAATATATAGCTATGTACCGGCGGGCTTTGGGGAGAAAAAGGAAAAAAATAAAATCTTTAATTAAAAAAAAAAGATTCTTTCTCTGTATCACAGGTTATAGAGCAGGATTCCTTTTGTTTTTTTCATTAGATGCCTTAGATCTTGGATCCTCAGCCTTCCTAATAAGGTCGGTGCTCAGCTGATGGGGCTGTGTAGAAAACCTTTTGATGCACGTTGGTAAGTCTTCCTGGAGTAAGATAGGTATGGTCCCTGTGATGAAGGGCTTTTCTTTATATTGTGATTGACACTTTGGTCTCTTCTGTAGAGCCTCAGCAATGGATGATGGTATTTATTGATTCATCTGCTTAAATAAATTAGAGAAGTTAAGTTTTGCTTTTCTTTTTATTTTACAAAGCTGTGAGGAGGCACCCCTGTATCTTTTTCACTGTTTTATAGCTGGGCCACATGAATTTAATTTTTACTTTGGATTTTGTGACCTCAGAAGTATGGCTGGATATCTGACAAGCTTCAGTCTTGTGTCCTTAGTTCCAGTATCCTGTCCTTAGTTCCAGTCTTCCACACACTAAGCCTAGAAATGCAGAACAACGCTAAATGGCATAGGAGATCTTGGGGCAGGGTCAGAAGGTTTCTTTGATGATGAAAAAGGTTGATGAGGTTAATTTACACCAGAGACAGGAGGTGGAGTCGGATGGCTATTGAAGAGGGTTGAAGCAGTAGAGGTGGCAAGCTAAGGTGTGGGAACTCGTGATCAACTAAAGAATGGACAAGAGGGACCCTGCTTTTCACTTTCAGAAATGTTCCTTTGATCCTTTTATGTGCATAGCACTCAATCCTGTATATCTCTAAGAAAGATGTAGAAGACAGTTTCTATAAAACATTTTCTCATCTGGTTAAGACAAAAACTGATTGGACAGAAACATTATCAGGGCTTAGGGGAAGTGAGGTATCTTTACAGTTCCATTGAGTGAAAATAAAATATTTTACTATGTTTTGTTAAATATGGATTTTTCAGTTTAAATATACTTTAGAAAAACTCCACTTAAAAAAATTGTCTGCTTTGATGAAAAGGCTGCCATAAGAACCTGGAGAGTGTTGGTGCCTCTTGTGTTGAAGAGCCCTAATTTTTAATGTAATGTGATAGACTTGCAAACATAAAAAAACATTATTTTGCCCCTTCTCTTTGAGTTAAGCCCATCACTAGGAGGCAGAATGCAAGGACATGATAATCCTATCCTTTGAAAGTTGGTTTTGTGATGAGTGGTAAATAGGTGGAGATAGGCATAATTCCTATATTCCCAGCTGGTATATAACATATTAAACTCTAGTGCCTTGTACATAGTAGGTATTCAGAGACTGAATTCTTTTCTGAATGTAATTTTTTTTTTAAAGGCTAAAACAAAGGGGCCAGCCCCATGGCTGCGTGGTTAAAGTTCACGTACTCCTCTTTGGCGGCCAGGGTTTGCACGATAGGATCCCCACTGCCAACCTATTCCACTCATTGGCCACGCAGTGGAGGCATCCCATGTACATGTCTAGGAGGGTTGGTACAGATGTTAGCTCAGGGCGCATCTTCCTCACACACACAAAAAGACTGAAACAAAGACTATGTTTGTGTTTTCCTTGCCCCAACATGTTTATGACGTCAGTTGGAGCAATAGTAGATTATAGTTCAGTTCACTTTAATTTTCCTTTTTTTTTGTGCTGACCTCTGATGCTCTCTGGCAAAGAACCATGCAATGATTTGAGGGCTATTTGTTTAAGAAAATAGATGAGATTGAGTTGTAAGTAACTTCCTCTCGGTACTAATTCATACTTTTGTAGCCAAACATAGACCTTGATGACCATTTCTGGTCAAGGACAAAAGAGCTTCAGCTTAATAATAGTTTGCTTTTTAATTTTAAGCCCTAAAGGTCATGAGATTCTTTTCACTTAAGTGCTTGTTAACTACTTTTTTTCAACAATTGAAAAATTGTTGAATGAATTGAAAAATTCATTGCTGAAGCCTTGAATTGTTTTTCCTTGCTAATTTGTAAATACATTTATTTATTTATAAGTAGACTAATATGAATGTTTAGTTAATATTAATAATGTTTTCTAGTATCTTTACACCTTGATAATAAGTTATAGATAACATTTTTGGGGCCTGCCGGCAGGTCTTATCATCTTAACGTGTTAATGCAGAAGGTTTGAAACTGGCAGTGGAGAACATCAGAGTAGAGCCTCATTATATGCAGGCTATTGTGTATTTTCTCTTCCAACATTCTTTTCTTCACATAATATTTCCATAGTATAACCACATGCCATGAGAACCTGACCAAATATATCTGCTTGTAGTCCTGTCCTTTAGTCCTACGTTTGTGTGCGTATGTATTTATACATCTACGTACATACACATGTACACACATATACAATGCCACCGAACTTACTAGGAAGTTCTTGTATCTAAAGATAAAGAGACAAGAAGAAAGTTGACTAGCAAATACAAAGGAATAACTTATTTATATGAAAAAAAGAGTGGGTTACTGTGATTCTAACCCCCGTTCCTATATTGTTTATGCTGTTTTTCTTGATTCACCTCTTTGCATCGACATTTTTTAGTTTTTTGTTTTGGGAGATTCAGGCCCTTGCCTGCACATATCCTATCTCCTAATAAAGAACCAGTGGTGCCATAAGTGCTCTTTGCCTAAGCAAATGAACAGCATCTGCCTTCCTTCATCCTCTTCTGGGCTTTCTTATGACTGAGGCCTTCAGTTCACAAGACACAGATATCAAGCACTTGCATGGCCACCAGCCAGTTAGTGTGTTTGGCACTGGCAGTATAAGGATAATTTTTAACATAGGTTTAGCATTCATTGTGCTCATGGTGTCGTAGGACAGATAAGTATGTAAACAAATAACCACAGCAATAGTAACTCTACCTGAAACAAGGACCAGAGGAGTGATTAACGACCCCTGGCCTTGGCATCACGATCAGAGACAATATCTCAGAAAAAGTGAGGCACAGGACATTCTGGGTGGAGGGAAGAGCTGAGCAAAGAGCCATAGAGGTATAAAATACTGTGACATTCTGGGAGTTGTGAGGTACTGAAAAAGTACAATGTGCAAAGGACAAGATGGGGAGAGAGTAAGCTGTGGATGGATTGTAAAGCACCTTCTGTACAGGTCTTAGGAATGTGACTCTATCCTGTAGGTAATGACAATTTCTCAGATGTTTTAAGGAAGGTAGTCACCTGAGAAAAAAGAGCTTTGAAGTCACTCAGAACTGAACTCAAATCTCTGCTTGTGTTGTTACTTACTAGCTGTATACTCTTGGACCTGGTGCTTAACATTTCTGAACTTCAGTTTTCACATCTATGCGATAGGGATAGCTTGGACTGAGAATACCCTGGATTGTGAGTGACTAGTCATGCAGCAAATATTATTTATTGAGTGCCTGTCATACATAATGCTCAGAGACATTCTACAGGGAAGAGAAATGCAGGAGGAGGAGCCTCCAGAGCTTAGAAACAGCTAGATGCTGGATCAACCCATCCAAAACTTAGCACATTTGTCTATTCAGACCTATTCTTTTTTGTTTTTTTTTTTAAGATTGGCACCTGGGCTAACAACTTGTTGCCAATCTTCCTTTTTTTTTTATTCTGCTTTATTTCCCCAAACCCCTCCTGTACACAGTTGTATATCTTAGTTGCAGGTCCTTCTAGTTGTGGAATATAGGACGCCACCTCAGCGTGGCGTGATGAGCGGTGCCATGTCTGCGCCCAGGATCCGAACCCTGGGCTGCCGCAGTGGAGCGCGAGAACTTAACTACTCTGCTGCGGAGCCGGCCCCTATTCACACCTATTCTTATTCTGCATTCTCTGTCTTTATTAGTGACACCTAAGACAGAAACCTGGGAATCCTCTATTATACCTTCTTTATAGCCAATTATCAAATCCATCGTGTCTTACTTTTTTTTTTTTGGTGTAAAATTTTATTTTGATGAAATGCTTAAATTTTAAGTGTTCATTTGCTGAATTTTGACATATGCATGTATCTGTGTAATCCATTTGCCTGTTAAGATGGAGAACTTCGCTGTCATGCCAGAGAATTCTCTCATTACTCAAGTGATCCACTTGTAATTCATTGCAACCAATACATTTCAGATGAAGCCATAACTTCATTCATATCATCAATATGTATTAATATACCTGCTATTGAATAGAAACTGAGAATGCAGTGTGAGCCCAAAGTCCTTACCTTTAGCCTTCAAGATTCCTACAGTTGGGTGAGGATACTGATGAGTAAATAAGAACTTTGTAATATGACTTGAGAAGTAAGAAAATAGAGCTTGAGTATAGGGTGCCATCCTGCCCCCTTGACCTAATTTTTTTGTGTGTGTGGGTAAAGGGGAAATGAAATCTAATCTAAGGTTGGTAAGAGGAGTAATGAATCATGAAAGGAAGGGGAGATGCATATTCCAAGAATATTCAGGGCCAGGAAGCAAGAGGACAGGGAATATTGTATGACTAGAGAACAGAGAGAGAATAAGAAATGACAAAAATGATACTGGAGTGACAAGTGAAAGGCTGGATGGAGCAAGACTGAGTTTCCCATAGTAGGTCAACTAGAAGTTGCCTTACCTTTGAGGCAAGGAGTGATGCAAAATGACAATTTGTCAATTCCTGTCTTTGAACTCCCTCTAAACCTTAGTTAAAACTCTTATTTTAGGAATTCCTTCCTAATTAATGCCACATAATCGTTTGTGAATCATTGTTAGTGACATCGTATAATATCAACTACCATTTATTGACTGATCCTCGTATTTTATCTTGGACACACTTTATGCTTTATATTTTGTGGTGGTGGTTTCTAAGCATAATTGTCTCCAAATATATATCCATGTTCTAATCCTTTATATGGCAAAGATCTTTCAGACTTTTAAGTTAACTGATTGAGTTAAAAATAGTGAGATGTGGGGCCGGCCTGGTGGTGCAGCGGTTAAGTGTGCACGTTCCACTTTGTCGGCCCGGGGTTTGCCAGTTCGGATCCCGGGTGCGGACATGGCACTGCTCAGCAAGTCATGCTGTGGTAGCCGTCCCACATATAAAGTAGAGGAAGATGAGCATGGATGTGAGCTCAGGGCCAGTCTCCCTCAGCAAAAAGAGGAGGATTGGCAGCAGTTATCTCAGAGCTAATCTTCCTCAAAAAAAAAAAGTGTGAGATGATCCTGGATTATCTGGATGAGCCCTAAGCGCAATCACTAGTATTCTTTTAAGAGAAAGGCAGAGAAAGATTACAGATAGGTAGAAGAGGAGAAGACATGTAGAAAGAGAAGGCAATGTGGCAATGGACATAGATAACCGGAGTGATACTGCCACAGGGTAAGGAATACCAGCAGCCACCAGAATCCAGAAGAGGCAAGGAATGGATTTTCCCCTACAGCTTCTCTTGGGAGTCTAGCCCTGCTGACACCTTCGTGTCAGCCCAGTGGTATGATTTCAGACTTCTGGTCTCCAGAAGTGTGAAAGAATGGATTTCTATTGTTTTAAGCCACCCAATTTGTGTTAATTTGTTACAGCAGCTATTGGAAACAATACACTTGTTATCTCAAAACACACTTCATGTACTTCTTTATGTGCCACATGCTCATGTCATTCCCTTCACTGAGAATGTCTGAACCGCTGCTCTTTTTGGTAACTGATATGCCCCAAGTGATTAGAATCTTCATCACAGATAGTAAGTGCTCAATAAATACTTGTGGAATGAATCAATTCTGTCATGTATTACAGTTGTTAAGTCACCTATTTCTTCCATTAGATTTTTTTTGCTTTATCTTTTGAGTTGAGACATAATTGACACATAACATTCTGTAAGTTTAAGGGATACAACCTGTTGATTTGGCACATTTATATATTGCAGTATGATTACCACCATAGCTTTAGCTAACACCTCTGTCATGCCACATAACTCTTTTTTGTAGTGAGAACGTTTAAGATCTAGTGTCAGCGATTTTGAAGTATAGAATACAGTGTTGTTGACTCTAATCACTATGCTATGTATTAGATCTCCAGAACTTATTCATCTTCTCGTTGCAAGTTTGTACCCTTTAGCCTGTTTTGAGAAGAGCATTAACTCACTGTTTGTATTTTGTTTTTGATGCTCCAGGTCAGGATGGCTAACTGGTTGGCTTCCTACATGGTGCCCTACATCTACATCACACCTTAAAGAAGCTGAAGAGAAAATTTTAAAATGTAAGGTTTTCTTCTTGTAAGTTAACTGAGCTATGTATTCAAATAGGTCCAGTATGTCTCATTGGCCTAAAACTGGAGATAAGATTCTGTGGTGTTAGTTGTTGGCACAAGAACTTTTTTCCTTTTCCATGTTATCAGTAAGTGTATAAATGTGGGGAGGCAAGGGTTCTCAAATTTTTAGGTTTGTGTCCCTGTTATACTCTTAAATTAGTAAGGACCCCAAGGAGCTTTATTTATAGATTATAGCTATCAAGGTTTACCATATTAGAAATTAAAAGTGAACGATTTAAAATATGTTAATTAATTTTAAAACAATAGTAATAAACTCATTACAGGTTAAAATAAATAACGTTTTCTATAAGTAACTGCTTTCTAAACAGAAATGTAGTGAGAAAAGTAGCATTGTTTACATGTTTGTAAATGTCTGGCTTAATATAAAGCAGGTAGATTCTTAATATCTGCATTGCATTCTGCGGTGTTGGTAATCACTTACCATGTGATCTCTTGAAAACTCCATTGTATACCCATCATCAGAGTGAAAAAGACAAAGTCTTAGTATTATTATAAAAATAGTTTTGACCTTGTAGACATCTTAAAAGGTCTCAGGGATTCCCCAGCTATCCCCAGACTATGCTAGACAGGCTCTAGGTGTCCCCAGAGCAAGCAGCTTTGTATAGTGGGACAAACACTGTACTATAAACAAGTAACCTGTTCTAGGCCCACATCTGCAGTCAGGTGGTTACAGGATCTTAGGCAAGGAACTTCTCAGCTTCTGATTTTTTACCTGTAAGATGAGAGGGTAGGATGATCCTTAGAATTTTTTCTGGTTCTAGTATTCTAAGATTCTTTAATTCTACATTTGTGGCAGTGCGAAAACCTTTTCCTATTTCTTATGAGCACAGATGTTTACCCACACTTGTACTGCTAGGAGAGTATTCCCAGGTATCTGTGGGTGTATTTTTAAGCAGTAGTGTTTGTGTAATTTTGTTCTACTCATACAATTTAGAGGAGTGAATTACATGGTACAGTTCACATACGTGATTGCTGTGTATGTATGTGCGGATATTTGTCCGCAGATGTTTTTCATCCTCTCTACCACAAATGAGTTTTCTTGTTTGTGCATTTGAATAATTCAGGAGTAAGTGACTGTAACTGAATATATCCATAGAAAGGACAATTAACCATCTTTCTTGGATTTTTTAACTTGAAAATGAATTTCTACTCTGTATACTTGGGTAATCTTGTTCTCTACACAGCTGGGAAAGTTGTCATTGTGGTTTACTGAAATAAAAAAATTCTTGTCACAAGATAAAAAAAGGTGCTAGATGCTCAATTCACGCATTTAAGAAGCTCATTGCTTCCCTCCGGCAAAGGTTGTAGGGATGCAAATAGTGAGAGTTGACCCTGCTCCAGTGTGAGACGTGAAAGCAAGTGACTGATAATGGTGGAGTGAGCTCTCTGAAAGAGGTTACAGATAGTTTCAATGGAAACACACAAACTGTCTGTGTTCAAAATGCTGATGTGGTTTGGCTTGGCACTAATGCTGGATCACCTCCTTTTCTAAACTGGTGGCATTTCCACCTACTCAGGGGAATGGGCTCTGTTAATATTCTGAATGAATGCTAGGTTTCCTCTTTGCTGCCACTATGTGGGTACAAAATCTGAGATTGTTTCTTTGGTTAAAAGGGCAGAGGCTCTGGTTCTCCAGTGTTTGTCCACTACAAATGAACGTGCACAAATAATTAAGGGGTATCTCTAAAGTGTAGCTATTCAGTTGATAATTTAATGTAAATGAATTTCAAATTAGTTCATCTTTAGTGAATTTGGGGGGAGACTTAAAGTATTTAGTCCACAGTATTGAAGGTAAGTAAGAGTTTTTATCTACAAAATTGTGATTATTTGCATTTTCTAGGGATATTGTTGAACTTGCACTCGGACTACCTGGCGCCTCAAGCTGAGGAGTTCTTACCATACTCTGTCACCTTTCTTTGACTAAACTTTGTGATGACTGAAGATTTCAGTTATGTGTTTAATACATATACTGTTAATCCTTCCCTAAATTCATTATTACCTTTTAGGGAAAGATGTTTCTTTTGAGTCTGACTTGAATCTTCAATGCTTAATCTTCAAGTGTTGTACAAATTCAAGGGAGTAGTCTTTTGTTATTGTCTGCAAAGCTAGGGACCTTAAAATAATGGATTCAGTGACCACTAAGTTCCTTTCCAGTTCTGGTAGTGTGATACCCTCATTTAATAGATGTGGAAAGAAGTCCAAAGAGCTAACATGACTTGCCAAAAGACCTTGGCCACAGGTACTTGAGACTTGTCTGAGATAGATCTTCCCACTTAGGTGTAAAGTATGGTAATTAAGAATTACTTCAATAAAATGTGTGCTTTTTTTTTTAGGGCTGACAGAATAAAGGCTAAAATCATATGAATGGATACCAGATGGTTTCTAGATTATTAATTTCTGATTGCTCTGAGAATACTATCCTTCTCAGAAGTAGTGAAGCTAAGCAGAATTTCTCTTTTATGTTTTCATTAGATGTCCCCTGCACATACAAAAAAGAACTTGTTCGTATATCTAATGGAAATAAAATATGGACACTGAAGTTCTCGCATAATATTTCAAATAAGACTCCACTTGTCCTCCTTCATGGTTTTGGAGGAGGACTTGGACTCTGGGCACTGAATTTTGAAGATCTTTGCACTGATAGACCCGTCTATGCTTTTGACCTCTTGGGCTTTGGACGAAGTAGTAGACCCAGATTTGACAGTGATGCGGAAGAAGTGGAGAATCAGTTTGTGGAATCCATTGAAGAGTGGAGATGTGCCCTAGGATTGGACAAAGTGATCTTGCTTGGACACAACCTGGGTGGGTTCTTGGCTGCTGCTTACTGTTTGAAGTACCCATCAAGGTAAGTGATGGTGATAGAAGAGAGACACCCAAGTGCTCGTCTCTACTTCCTGTCTTTGGTGGTGGTTGGTGTCTGAGCTTTATAAGACAGACATTCTCTTAAAGGACCCTATAGACCAAATAGCCACAGCTGATGGCCAGTTTAGTAGCTGAAATAATGACGTCATATTTTCCATTACACATGCTACACATTGGTTGAAGGCTTAAGAAAGACTTTCTATTTGTTAAACTTAGAATGTATACAATTTAAGCCGCAAGTGAAAATTCTTGTGGTTTTATTGTTATTGTCGTCATTAGACCTATGGATTCTAGCAGTCTTTTCCTCACCTTCTCCAGGTTATAGTGAGCTGTAATGGGAAAACAGAAGGTTAGAAATTAGGACTCCTAGGTACTAGTGTTATCTTTGTGGCTTAGTGCAAATCACTTAACCTCTAAGCTTTTCCTCATTTCTTCATTTCTAAACTACAGAAAATATACCTGTATAATGTATCTTACAGAGTTTTTGATTGTACTGTGCCCTAACCTTTATTGTTACAGAATTATTTTTCAGAGACGTTGGATTAATGAGTGTTTGCTTCAGAATCTTTGTAGCATCTCCTTTCTTTACCTTATTTTCTTATGCTATTTCCTATTATTTATGTTGCTACTCTGAGGGGAGGTCATACTTGAGTGCTAAGAAAATCTCATTTTTGTTTTGCTCATCCTTTGGAAAGAAAAAAGATCAGCATTTTTGTGTTGCCGATGTATTTTTCCATTGGACTAATTTTTAAATCCAAGATTGCAACCGACTTTTGACATTGAGGTCTGTGAATGAGATATGAATGATGGTCATTTGCAGAGTGCATGTATGCACCTGTGAGGCTGCCCCATTGCATAACTCCAGGTGTGCTGTTGACACAGAATTTGATGGTGGAGCAGCAGCCCTGTGTACCTGGGGTTTTCCTCTAGAACAGCCAACTTTTTCTCTACAGATTCTTTATCTAAAATGTCAGCATTTGCACTTGATTTTTCTGGAGAGTTCCTAATCTTGTGTGTCCTAGGTGGTAATAGTCTTGTCTACTGGCAGACGTCTTCTTTCAAAAGAAGTCCAATTTTTTCCCTCCTAGTTGGGTTTTTGGGGATTACTGTCTTTTTTTTGTGTCCTCCTCAGTGACAAACACCTAGCTGTATTTGTGGGCAAAGGAAGACAAGGATACTTTTCTGGTATAACACAACAGGGCTATTTGTGGAGGTTGGGCTTCCTTTGTTTCTTATCAGGTGTTTATTATGTCTATCCTGTGGTATTTATCCCCTAGAGATACGACATGGAGCTCTGTGGGCTAGACTCTGGTCATGAAACCTCTTAGAGTCCTGACTCTTCATGGCTATCTGCTGTTTAGTTCAGTTGGTGAGATTTTCATTTGCAGTTGTGAAATGCTCTAAAGAAATAAGGGGTTTCAGTGATTCAAAAGGGAATGACTACTTCAAAACTATCTGTAAAAGAGAATAGCAACATATTTTGAATGACATGGGAGGCAGAACAAGTATCTAAAATAAAGCCAGTGGGGGCCAGCCCCATGGCCAAGTGGTTAAGTTCACACACTCTGCCCCAGCAGCCCGGGGTTTCCCCGGTTTGGATCCTGGATGACCTAGCACCGCTCATCAAGCCATGCGTCCCAGATGCTGCAACTAGACGGACCCACAGCTAAAATATACAACAGTGTCCTGGGGGCCTTTGGGGAGAAGCAGGAAAAAAATAAAAAAAATGAAATAAAGCCAGTGATCTCTGCATTGGACTGACTACCTTTTATAGAATGATTCTTGAATATTTGTGCCTAATGCTAGAAATCAAACTAAAGTACTGTATCAGGACCAAGAACCACTAAGTAATAGCAATAGACGAATGTGAGAATGCTTGAAATAAGTAGGATGTTTAAATTGGCTGATTGCTGTCAAATATTGAGTGGAACTCTACAGAATATGTTAGATATTGAAGCCTATATTTTAACTGCATAAAACTTAAATTATTAAACACAAGTTAATTTAAAAATAATGAGGTTCTCTGAATTTTCGGTAGCCCAGATAATGAATGAAGTCCAGTCAGAACACTGTGCTTGGCACATAGTGGGTGCCCAGTAAATATTTCTGGAATAGATGAATCTGGAAAGAGAATTGTAACTAAATTCACCTTTTAGCTTACCATTTTATGTTCTTTTTCTGCTTTCTCCTTCCACCTTGCATAAAAGCATTAAGAGATAGGAGTTGGTTATGTTATACCTTTGTCGACGAAAATAATCCATAACCAATCTATAAATGAAAATTTGGGTGAGTTTATTCTGAGCTTAAATCTGAGGATTATAACCCGGGGCCTTTCTTCCCAAAGGAAGAAAGGGCACCAAAGAAGTGGGGTGCACAGAGTGGTTATATACCCCCAGAGAGGATGTTTCACATAGGATTGAAATGTCCCTTTTACAATAGTCTCGAGACTGCTCTGTCGGCACAGCGATTGGTGGAAACAGCAGGTAGGTCTTCTGTCTCAGTGAACACAGCAGGGTGGCAGTCTGTTGTCTCCAGCTGAGTGGTCACAGGTGAGCTGGGTGGTCAAAGGTGAGTGCAGCAATCAGTTCCTAGCCTAAGGAAAAATGCTTATCCCTAAGGAAATGCTAATGTGGGGGGAAGTTGCACCTTTATCTCAAGGGCCTTTGTTCTGGCCATAGGACATGTCTAAGCAGATATGCAATGCGTGCTCAATAGCCACAGTCAGGCCCTTTTGGAAAAAACAAAGTCAGGCCGAATTAGGTTTATACCAAATGGCTTCCTCATATACTACAATATATCCTATTGCTTGCCATTTTTATTTGCCACCTTTCCACTTTCTTTATGGGAGAAAAACTGATTTCATATATGTAAGTGTAAACCAGAAAGATTTCAGTTTTAGCCCTTTTGACCAGTTAATTTACATCTTAAGTTACTGTGTCTCATAAAAACAAGTTATAGTGGAAATAAAGGTGAGATCATTTTGTGTGTATGTGTGAGAAAAAGATATTAGTGAGAATGTTTTTTCTAACATATACATAATATATATACATATTTTACATAGTTAATAAATTAACCTGCCATTTGAACCAACAACTTCAGTTAATTTAGAAATGTGTTAAAGCTACAAAATAAAAGTAAGATTTTAAAATTTCTTTCTTTCTATTCTTATAAACTGGATAATACCCCAGTGTAGCACATAGTATGGGAAGGCAGAAGTTACAGTCTCTTGGGCCTCCTCCTTTCCCTGGGTTTTTTACTCTGTTGCTTTTCAGGATGGCTTTCCTTGAAGCACTTCTCTTTCAATGGAGAGGAAAGAGATAAATGAATAAGTATATCTCTGGTTTTTTCCTGTAGGCGCATCATCTCCTTTGTTGCAGATGTTCCTTACTGCCAACATTACTTTTAATGTTTCTCATTTTAATTTCATACCATAAAGAAATTTTTTCTGTTTGATCCTGATTGAGGAAATTCATACAAATTTACATAGATGATGTGTAGTTACGGTTAATAGAACTGTTCAGTAGACTCACAGATCCGAATGCAGTTAAACACAATTGATTACAGCAAGTGTAGATGTTCATAATTAGAGCAAACCTCATAGTAAGTGAGCTTTAGCGGTAACTGTCTCTTCAAGTTGCATTCATACTGAGCAGATGGGCTGGTTGTCTGGGTCGCTATCTGTGTGATCTGGAATGTTTTACCTGAGCCAGGAAAGCCTCCTTGTGGTACGCACGTACTGTCTCTGGTACAATAGAGTGGCCCTTTTAGTATCAGCTAAGCAAGTACAGAACTGCCTACTCTAAATGTCTCTTATCCAACTTTCACTTGATCCAAGTCCTTTTGTATTTAAAGACTTTTATTTTATTTTATTTTTTATTTTTTTTAAGATTTTATTTTTCCTTTTTCTCTTCAAAGCCCCCCGGTACCTGGTTGTATATTTTTAGCTGTGGGTCCTTCTAGTTGTGGCATGTGGGATGCCACCTCAGCATGGCTGATGAGCCGTGCTGTGTCCGCGCCCAGGATCTGAACCGGGGAAACCCTGGGCCGCCAAAGCAGAGTGCGCGAACTTAACCACTTGGCCACGGGGCCAGCCCAAGACTTTAATTTTTTTAGAGCAGTTATAGATTTACAGCAAAATTGAGAGGGAGATAAAGAGATTTCCCATATAATCCCTGTGACCCCTGCACATGCATAGCCTCCCCCACAATTACTATTTTTATTATGCTGTCATGAGATTAAAATAAATCTTTGAATTTCAGAAAAAAGTTTGTAGGGTTGGGGGAAAGGCTGTGAGAGGAGGGAAAGAATGGTCTAATAGAAACCAAATGAGATTCAGTTCATTTCTTTACTCATTGTGCATCTTTTCTTGTCTCTCTCTTTCCTTTTTTTTCTCATAATGGATTTAGAGAATGTTGCTTTTTTCTCTTCCTCCTCAGGTATGGAAAATCTTTTTTTTTCTCTTTTAAGTAAAACAACAGTTCCTTAATTTCTGTTGTTTCTATGCAGGAAGGAAAAATAAACACAAAGACAACAATTTTTTACTTGTTGGGACTTCCTGTCCCAATCCATACCTATTTCTGTCCTTATCTTTTATGGGCAGCCCCATTCTTCCATTCTTTGTTTATTTTTATAGGACAGTTTGAGGACAAGAGTGAATATGCCTAATTTAATGTGCTTGTTTAGGAAGGATTCTCATGATGGAAAAAATTCATCAGTTTTTATTCTCTATTTTGGTACAGTAGGTCATCCTGGGTGCTTCATTTCTATGAGCAGCAGAGTGCCTCTGTCCATACAGATTGTTTATAGCCTAACTTGTGGCAGTGATCACATATTTTACGTGGATTCTTGATACTGTTTAAAAACAGTATTCAGCAATTGTGATACTTTGTTTGTAAAAGTACCCAAATGATTCCTCCATTGAAATATTGGTGATGAATGAAATACTCCTAACACCATGTTCCAGCAGATTGATTGTGTTTAAAT